TCTCCATGTAGCTCAGGCTGGCCTTGAGCTCTCTATGCAGCTCAGGCCGGCCTTAAACTCACACTGATCCTCCTGCCTCACCTTTTGAGTGCTGGGGTCTTAGGTGTATGTTACTATGCTCAAGTTTAGTATACAGCTGTGGCAAGTGGCCATCGTGGTTTCTAAATTCTTCTCTGTGTCTGTTCCCTGAGTTTGGTAAGAAACGAGTCTCAGACTAGCACGGATCGCAGACCAGCCTTTCTGTAGCACGGCCCTTGAGGGTGTTGCTTGGGAATCTGATTGAGTAGATGCCAGCACTGCTGAGAAAAGACAGCTGCAGATCGAGAGCCACATACGTGGGCTTGGAAGCTGCACAGGAGACGCCCTAGAAATGTCTCCTGAAACAGAGGTGTCAAAAGCAACACCTCGAAGAGCAGCTAGCAGACAGCTAAACACACAAAGCAGAGAACCCCAACGCTCCAGGTGCAGCAAGCCATTGTCGCCTGGCTGCTTGCACTTGCTCAGCCCAGCAGAGCTGCTCCCAAGCTATCCAAAGCAAACAGGGCTCTCCCCGCAGCAGACTCAGCAGGACAAAAACCAACACCCAGAAATAAATTAGATTGCTCAGCTCATAGAGTTGCACAGCCCACTGTGTTCAAGTCCAGGATCCCGAATACAATAACAAATGATATTATTAATTAGGATGCTGATCTAAAGCCAACCCCTAATAACACTGCTATAAAGCAACACAATTCTCAGAATTTCCTGGGTCAGCTGCAACAAAGAATTGTGAAGCTGTCTTCTCAATTGAACTGAGTCTTGCCCAAGCCTGATTGCGGTGTGCACAGCTAAATCCCATTTCCCTCCTGCTGGCAATCTTGCTACTTGGAGTGTCTAAGTACTGAGGACTCCTTAGAACAGGGTAAGTATGTGGTTGGGTTGAAAGAAACATAAAGCCTAGAGCTATCATACAAGAGCTTGAGAGCCACCTGCTAGTTAGGTAATCTTGAAGCGTTATCTGAGCTTCAGTATCTGTGTCCATACAACAAGAAAAATCACAGCTATCTCCCCAGAAGTACAGCTAGTGAAAATGCTTGACAATTTGTAAAAAGTTATGTAGCTATCAGGGCTTACTACAGTGAAATAAGTAGTTGAGTTGTGTTTGTAACCTCGCCTCCTTCCATGACTCTGTCTTTCACACAATGTATGTCTTCCTTAGAGCTCAAATTGCTTCCCCATGCCACACACCATCTCCCTGACCTTCTCAGCCATCAAGAACATCTGACAACTTGAAAATGTGGTGCACAGGGGATCTAGCCCAGGCACACCCCAGTGACACAGATGACCTGAAAGCCAGAGGGACATTTGATGGAACAAACAGCTTGGTTTTATTAAATCTGTGGCTTTTCTAAACCTGGCTCCTCCTTACCTTGTGCTCTCTCTTGCAGGAAGCCACTGATGTGTGTTGATTTTGTTCATTCTGCTTACTGTTTAGAAAGTTTTACTTTTGCTGCAGCCCTATAAAATGAAACCAGGCTACTTGCCAAATTCTGTGTTCTGAAAGTGTTTTTATTAGTACACAAGTTTCCTCAGATCAGGTAAGGAATTTGGTACACATCATATACTATGTAACCTTGGGCAAGTTAGCCTCTGAGCTTATTTTTTCTGTAACATAAACACAATAAATGTCCTATCTTTCTCATGGATATGAAGACTTAAATGATCAGATAAAGTGAATTTTGTAAATAACTGAAGGCACTTTACTCATAATTAGTAAATTATGATGAATGACATATAGATAATATTGTTTTTATTATTCCTTCTTTTTGTGCAAGAAAATAATTTGGTAGGAGTCACTTGCACCCTGCTGTCATAATGGCTCTAAATTTTAATTTTTGTTTATTTTTAAAAAGCAGAAGAGAGACAAGAAAAGGAATATTGTGGGACTGTCCTGCTTCAAGGTTGTATATGGTAAAAAAAAATTTAAAAAGGTTGTATATGGTGAGATTTTTGGACTTATGTGTAAACATAAGAAGTATATAATTCTTTATGCCTATTTTAAAAATATATTCTAATTTTTAAATTTTTTTTATCATATTCTGTAGGGACTTAAAGTTCAACATATCAATACTTGATGAAAAATACCTGTTCCATATTATGCCTAAGATGTTTGATATGCAGACAGATAGTGAGGTTAAGCTTAACAGCCTAAGTTGTATGGTAATAACAATAAGCTTGTCTTCTTGATGGTTAACAGCCTAAGTTTGCAGACCAAAATTAGAGAGAAAGGAGGGCTGCACGGAAACATTTTGGCCTTAGCCTTCCAAAGTCAATTAAGACTCAGGACATATGAGAACTTGTACTGTAACATCATGTAACTCAGTATTGTCCCAAATTTTCTCATCAAGGAGATTATGGGGCCAAAGAGGAAAGTGATCAATGATGTAGAGTGTGCCTAAGGAGAGTCACATGGAGAGAAAACATTCTCTCAGGCTTTCACAGAGAGCACATTGGCCAAGCAATGGCCGTGACTCATCCACACGGCTGACACTGACAAAGGTTCTACAATCTGAGGTACAGGATCTCAGGATAAATCCTCAGGGGATTTCACTGACCTTATCAGACCCAAAAGCTACAACTCTTGTTGCATAGGTCTTGCTTTACCTTGGTCTTAACCATCCAGCAGAAAAGTATAAAAATGAAGTATAAGAAGTAAAGCCATGCTGTTATGCTGAGCTGTAGGGGACTCAGGTCAATAATTTCTGACATTGCCAGTCAAGCGGAAGACCCAGTACTATTATGGACTACTGGACTCTTTTAGAATATTTTGCTGAGTTTACACACCCATAATATTCAAATAACAGAACTTAACAACAAAAAGGGTATACAGATGAATGTCCATTTTGTATCTGTGCATTCAAAGTGGTTAGGATAGATATATAGTTACATTCTCTTAATGAATAGAGGGATTTGTTCTAATGGTGTCTGTAAATAGGATATCATGTCCGCATCTTGTACAGCAATTAACCAGTAGGAAGAATGTATGCAATGTGTTAATTATTGAAACTGTCCTACCAATTTGATTTGAGAAAAATTAATTAATTAAATAAATAAATAAAAAGCAGAAGATAGAGTCCATGTGTCTTAGGAAAAAGAAAGATCTATCGGTGTGTTGCAAATATTAAAAGTTCTAGAAAGTATTGGGGCCTTGGTGAGTGATGTATCCATATGTATTCACTTCACTGTGCTTGCATTGTTGATAAATACCCAGCACAGACAGAATCCTTCAGCCTTGTAGAGTTCTCTTGCAGTGAAAGGAAAAGCACATTGGAGAGCATGGCGGTGCATCCGTTCTTGAGGACAACGATGAAATGCATTGGCTTTAATTTACTTATGTCATTAGTGTGTGGCTGTGGCACCCAGCATTTACACTCCTTGTGTGGAGGTGAGATGTGCATACGACACATCTTCCTTTGTTCACTCCTCTCCTTTCCCTCCCTCTCCATCCTTTTATCCCTTGGTCTCCTTCCCATTTGAGAAATATCTCTCTCCCTACTTTCTTTTATCTATCTTTTATTTTACCCTTTAGTTATAATTTGGGTTTTTCATGTAAATCACACAATTCTTTCATAAATTAAGTTTACTGTATATTTTAAATATATATAATTATCACTTCCTCATAAAGACCTTGTACCTGTACATGACTTATTCAGTTTCTTTTCTTTTTTCCCTTCCCTTAACCATCCTTCAATTCCTTTTCCCCTCCTTATTTACAAAAACTTTGTTTCTCTTTTATCAATTTTTTCTTTTCCCTTCCTTCTTTTCCCCTCAGTCTCTCCCTTATTCCCCTTCCCAAATGAGCATTTTTTTTCTAATTTATACTATCTAGTGTACATTCTGATCCTTTGCACTTTCAATTTCTCACACCAGAGAAACAATGTGATATTTATACATACGTTTGATATATTTCACTTTAGAGAATGGTCTCAAGATGTTACCTATAACTATCTCAAGATTGCCCTTCTTTATGGTTGAGTAGTAGTACTCCACTGTAGTAAAGAAAACCCACATCTTCCTTATACAGTCATTGGTCAATAGGCATTTGGGCTTTTTGAAGATTTAGCTATTATAAACTGTGCTGCTATAAACATGGGAACGCATATGTCGTTGTTTTTAACTCTTTCTGAAATATACCAAGAAGGGGAGTACTTGAGTCAAATGGAATCTCTCGTCCTGGTTTTTGGTCAATCTCTATATTGATTTCCACAATGGTTACACTCATCTACACTCCCACAAATAGTGGAAAAGGGTTCTCTTTCCCCTCTGTCCCTCCCTCTAGCATTTACTCTTGGTTGAGTTCTTGATAATTGAAATTATTTCTGGGGTGAGATGGAATCTCAGTGTTGTTTTAATTTGCATCTCTCAAATGACCAGTGATGTTGAACATTTTTTCATATATTTATTTGCCATTTCTACTTCATCTGTTCATTCCAGATGTCCCTTTTTGGATTGGATCCTAAAATTGAGGGGGTCTGGCTTCTTTGAGTTCTTTATATATTCTAGATATTAGTCCTTTGTCTGAGAAACAGCTGGAAAAAATATTTTCCTACTCTGTGGGTTGTCTTTTCACTTGTTGGTGATTCATTCTGCTTTGCAAAACCTTTTTAATAAGATTCAAGCTATTGATGTTTTATAATATTTCCTTTGTGGTCTGGGGTTTGTTTCATAAAGTCTTTGTTTATATCTATGTCTTCAAATGTTCTACCTGTTCTATTTTCTAGCAGATATTGGACATTAGTATATCCAAAAGAGAGTTTTTTTATTATACAAATAGCTATCCTCTCCCCACCAAAAAAAATGCTAAAAGCACAGACCCAAAACTCCCCAAAGTGATTCACACTTCTAAAACAGGCGTGAAAAAGCTCACCCCCTAGAACATTTGTGGTGAGAAAGTTAAAACTTGCAAGAAGAAAACTCAGTCTTCAAATCCTTTCTTCATCAATTGGATCAGAGGATTTCATCTGGGCTTCCTAAGTCTAAGTCATTAAAATGACTAGCTTTTCTTCTTTTCCTCTGTTTTGCTTGATGGTTGGGGCTTATATGATTCCAGAAGGTAAGTATGTACACCGTAAGTGAGTTTCTGGTGGTTGAGTTGTTATATTATAGATGAATAGGATTTTCATAACCATTTCTCTTATTGGTTGCAAATGCTGCGTTTGATACAATTGTTCATCAGTAAAGGTATCATTACTATTATGTAGAGTTGCTATTTTTTCAGCTTTGAAAATCCTACAGTGACTGTTACCAGGAGAATTACCAGAAGTTGCTATTTTTTCACCTTTGAAAATCCTACAGTGACTGTTACCAGGAGAATTATGTGTAACCATGTGGATCTTTTGTGAAACCCTCTGGTTTTATTTTGCAGGTTTCACTATGGAGATCATCGGAGGGAAAGAAGTACCTCCACACTCCAGGCCCTTCATGGCTTCCATCCAGTCCAGAGGCAGTCACGTCTGTGGAGGGGTCCTGATCCACCCGCAGTGGGTGCTGACCGCAGCCCACTGCAGCCCTTGGTGAGTCCCATACAGGCGTGTTGTTTCTTTCAAATTGACTAGAGGGAAAAATGGCATAAATGTGCTGGACGAGGAGCTGCTTTCAGCTTCAGTGATATCTGACCAGTGGCTAGGGCTTACCTTCCCTTTTGCACTTCCATATTTTCTATAGTAGGTTCTTATTTCTGGAAAGAGGTGGGCTTCTGTTCCCAGGCAAGCCCCTGAGCAAAAGCAAGTCCTTGGTCTAATGCATCAGCAAATATGGTGATCCTGGAAGCAGCTGCATTTCTGATCTTGTTAAATAACACCATTCAGGGGACAAGAAGACAGACAGAGCTTGTTCTGTCCTCTTCAGCTTTCCTGTTTTACAAATGGGAATTAAATGGTAATAGTACAGTTGTCGGTCCTGATCTGCGGGACTGTGTCCGAGACATTCCTCAGATGCCCACAACCGCTGCTAGCAAGAGCTCCGTGGACACTATCCTTTTATACATAATATCTATCATGAAGTTCAATGTATAAATTAGGTACAGTATGACACTAATAACAACAGCAATAAAATAGAACAATTATGACAATATAATATAGGAAAAATTACTTAAAACTTATGAATTGTTTATTTCTGGAGTTTGCCATTTAATATTTTCAGCACCATTTGGCCACAAGGAACATCACATAAAGCAAACTGTGTACAAAGGGAGACATTATCATCCCTGCTTCGTGGGCTTTTAAGAATTATACAGTATTACATTTAAGTACTTTAACTGTTTAGAGCATTAGTAAGCACACAGACACCGCAGGCAATATTACATGTTGAGGACCTTTCTCTGCTTGTAGATTTAATAGACTCTTTAGTTCCTTGACCCCGCCCCTTATCCCAGCCATCTGAGGTCCCTGTTTGGGATAGCCACTGAAGCAACAACATTCTTGGATTGTGGAAAGGGACAGATTTAGAGAGGATTTTAAAGGACAAAAAAAAAAAAAAAGATTTATTTTTTTTGAGATACTTACAATGAAAAATTTTCTGAAGATGGACTACAACCTCCCCAATTCCAATTCAGCCCTGGGTGCTCTTGCTTCAGCTAATAAAATACAAAACTCATCTCAGAATGCTGAGACCATTACAAAGGAAAAACAGTAGAAATCTAATTTGGCATTGGTGGTTCCATTCATTTTGTTGGATTCTCTGGCTTTACGTTTTATCTGCCTTCTTTTTTTCCTGCCAAATAAGCTGAGATGGTTCTTTGCTTAAGAATGGTACTGCCGGGAAGATAGCTCAGTAAAATAAGCGCTTGCCTGGCAAGCTCAAGGGCCTGAGTTCAATCCCTGGTTCTGCAAAAAAAAAAAAAACCAAAAAAAAAAAAAAAAAACAAAGAATTAACTTTAGGAAAGAAAAAAAAAAAAAGAATGGTACCGTACTTCTCTTGCATCTGCTGCACTCCCTGTGGTTTGCTGCTTGTGCATAGTGGTGTCTAAACAGAACAAATGAACTGGCTGGCTTCTTCATCTTTTGGGCTGTTGCTGGATGGTCCCATTGGCATGGAACTATTTGGACATAGATTTGAAGTTTCAAAGCCTGCAAACAGGACAGGCTGTGTGCTCAGCACCCCTGAAGCAGTCATGGAATGCTCAGTCAATGCAAAATGTCAGCATCTTCATGGTTGCCTTTGGTGCACACTGCCACACCCACCGTGGTGGTCCACGTGCCACTGTAGGGCTGTTGTCGCTGAAAGCTCTAAAGTTCATCACTGAAGCTCCTCACACACAGAACCAGAGCTAGAAATACTCCAAAGTGCTAGATGAAAAGAAGAAACAAATTGGGGGATTTTATTTTTATTTATTATTATTTTTCTTCTTTGCTAAGCTTAAAACAAGTCATAAATCACTAGAGGGAGGTAAACAATATTGAATTGAACTTCACATTCTGTCAAGTGAAGTTAACCCCAGAGAAGTGGATTCCCAAATTACGAGAAACAGATTATTTTTAAAAGACTGGATAGAGGTCTTGGAATCTTTTTAATAAATATCCTTTTAAATAGCCAGAGTATAAAGAACTCCAAAATATGTGGGTTGAATTTCCTCCAAGGGACACTCGGGTATAAAAATGTAGGCACATCAGTGCTTGGAAAAATAGTAAGCCTTATGAAATTCAAAACATTTATGAAATAGTTTAAGGGTGGCTTCCCGCAAGCATACTCACAAATATCCTAAGGGACCAGTTGCTGACCCCAGGCCTCTGTTTCAGCAAAATGGTGAAGTGGGCCAGAACTCAGGGTGTGTTCTTCTCACTGTCCACCCACTCAGCTCCTGCCTTAGCACCTTGGCCTCTTTATTAGTTGCTGTGTCATAAAAAGGAATGGGTAAAAAAGCTTCCTGTGTAATCTGATTTTCGGCATTTTCATTTATCAGAAGCAAAACTCGTCCAACTGTTGTCCTTTGTCATCTACAGCGCTCTTCACTGCCCACCCTCACTGTGCATTTCCCCAGCTCCACCACCTGCCTAACAACTTATGAGATGACACCTGAAGCTGCTTCCACACAGTGTTGCCCCATCTCAAACTCCCTGAGCAAGATGCTAAAAGTGTCAGGCTCCAGACTCAACCGAGCTGCGTCTTATCCTGCCTACACATTGTATCTCCTAAAGCTTTCACCTAATATCTGTGGGACAATCTATAAAGTTTGTGCATGTATCTGCACCTCAGTTTCCTGATTTGTAAAATAGACATCATAGTGTTTCCACATCATAGGGCTATTGTGCAGGAAAAATGTGTAAAAAGCTTAGAGCTAAAATTCAAGGCCTTAGTATAGTCCCAAGTAGTGTAATGCTGCTATGTGTGCCTTCCATGGTAACCAAGGAATTCATCTGGTGAGCCCACTTGTGCTGTTGGGACTGAGGAAAAACTCACTCTCTGAGGTAAAAGAGACTTCCAAGAAATAGGAAACTCCTTTTCCTGTCAGGCCTCAGGAGTGGGTGCAAGCCGTAGGCCTGCTTAGTACCCAGACAGGCGGACAAAGGAAATGAGAGACTTGAACTGGGCCACATGGGTCTTTGAAGAGAAGTCAAGGAAAGATGACTGGAGTTGGAGTCACAAAAGGTGAATTTGAGTCCCAGTTCCCCCACTTCTGAGATGAGCTGCCTTGCTCCAGTCAGAGGAGCAGGTGTTCTTTAGGCTTTGGCAACACTCAGATGGGGGTTATTGAGCTCAATTGGGACTGCAGGGTTTGGGGGGGCTGTTTTTATTTATTTTTATTTGGGGGGGTGTTTGTTTGTTTGTTTTTGGACTTTTTCAGACAGGGTCTTGCTGTACAGATCAGGCTGAGCTTCAGTTCGCTTTGTAGTCCAGGCTGGCCATGAACTTGCAACAACTATCCTCCCACCTCAGCCTCCTGAGTGCTGGGATTACAGGCTGTGCCACCACTCCCAGCTCCAAGACTGTATTTTCACATGTCTCCAGCCAACAATGAAAAAACTTATTCCAAACAATACTACAGTTTTGCTGTACATGTAATTTTGTGCTAGTAAGTCCAAGTTGGACTCGGAAAGCTCCATTTTGAACAAACACCTCTAGGAGATTCTGAAGCAGCTCCGAAGCCCACTCAGAGAGAAACCCTGCCTTGTTGTGCGGATAAATGACACTGTCCATTCCTTTTCCTGTATGAATTCACATCCAGGGTTTGGCTAAAGATATTGAAGCCCAGAGTTCAGATAATTTCAACTATATGCAGACAAATCATATTTGAAGGGTATCTAGAAATTGGTAGTTCAGAAAACACGTGAGGATCTGCTTGGGTTGTTTTTAGTATTATCCTATCCCAGTGGAGATAAAAGTAACTAAACATTTCAAAGACAATGTTTCATCAAGAAACTGCGTGAAACCTGAAAAGAGATCAGAAATTTTCTAGCTTCCCTCCCTTCACCAGAACTCACCTTCCATGAGCAACATGTGGACCTCACAGCGCTCTGTGTGAGCTGTTTATGCTCATGCCCGCTTTTCTGTTAGAGCGTTAATCCTGGGGATTTTTCTATTAGTTTCTCCTCCAAAGCTTAGGGATGGGTATTTGGAATTTGAATCAGTCCTTGGAAATCCGATCCACATCTTATGAGAAATTCCATCTCCATCCTGATTTTGCAATAAGCAAACTTCAACAAATAGAGCTAAAATTCCCAAAAATAAACTAAACTCTTTTGGTAGAAACCATGAGGTGGTAATTCCAGGCAGTCACAGATCTACTCTGTGAAAACTTTCTCCACTACAGTCACATGCATATTCTCTGAGCCTGAAATGATCATTTCTTCCTTTTTTATGCCCTTTTTAATTATGAGTATGTGTGTTTTTATTGAATTTTGCTTTGATCTCTTTTTCAAGTCATAAAGACACATTTATATGAAAATGAATAAATGTAATATTTTATAGCCTTTCTAGTTCCAAAAAAAAGGTTCTATAAAGACCCATGTTGCAATAGAATATACTTATAGCATAGAACTGGCTCCAAGATGTTATGAAAATCTCCAAAGAAATTATGTTTGCATCATTGGCTATAAATGTAATTATATCAAGCTTACAGGAAACAAGGCCCATTGTGACATTACTGCAACATTAGTGCTAGAACTATGTACAAAGATTTTGTTTCTTTATAGAACTCCCCAATTTGTACCCTATAAATCATCACAATGGAGTTATTAGTGTTTACTATCCTTTTATTTTTTTTTGGTATCGGGGATTGAACTCAGGACCCTGCACTTGCCAGGCAAGGGCTTATTCTACTGAGCTTCACCAGAACACCCCAGCCCATGTTTACCATCCTTAATGTATCTCCATTTCAAATTAGAAAATTTTTTTTTACTTAAGGGAAGTTTTCCTTTCTGATCTAAACCACTTTCTAATTAAAGGGGAATTTTGAACCCATTTAAATGTCATGAAAGAGGACCCAGAGCGCCTGGTGAGGTCTCACCATATATAGATGACTGTGGGCAGAATTGAGCCTTTACCTTGGCTATTTTAGCTTTTTTGCTGGGGGGATTAAAAGTTCTGGAGATGAATGACAGTGATGGATAAACAATGCTATAAATGTACTCAATGTCACCACGTGTGCATTTTAAATTATTAAAGTAAAATATTTTATCATATCTATTTTACCATAATTTTAAAAATCCCTTAATGTAGTTCTGACAAATCTCAAACTACAAACTCAGTAAATATAATTTCCTTTCTTCTTATAGAAATGAACACAAATCGTTTTAAACTTGACATATGGTGATTAGGATTTCACTCCCTCTTTCTCATAACCAGACACAGGTTCTGACACTATTTTACAGTGCAGAGGAATTGGGCTGAGGTGGAGTTAAGGGGAAAGCCCTCTGGCCCTTAATGCTGTTCATCACTGATAGGGTCCGCTGAGATCTGTCACTCCACCTATTCCTCAATAAGCTGCCTTGGCTTTTGTCCATGATGCAGTCTGTACGTGGCTCTTTCTGCCATTTCTACTGCACACCAGAAAACTTGGAAATCATTCTGTTACATTCATTCTCTTTGCTTCTCTAGGTTTGCCCAAGGCCAGGCTCCTTCTGTGGTTTTAGGAGCACATTCTCTCTCAAAGAATGAGCCCTCTCAGCAAAGGTTTGCAATTAAAAGAATCATACCGTTCTCAAGACCCAAGTCAGATGATATCATGCTGGTAAAGGTATGTAATACTGCCTTTCTTCAGTTTCTCTAATGTTCTTATACACTGTGACAGTTAAATCAGCTACAGGAAAGCATTTCATGTGCACCTACCCTGTACTTGAGGTGATTATGGGGTATCTATAAGGTCTCATGTGACTCCGTACACTGCCTGGAAAGAAACAAAACTTTATCATAAGTGCGCCATGAATACATTCATATAAAGAAAATCAACTGTCATATTCACACATAAAAAGTGAACATCCCAACCAGCAGGCCTAAAGATCCAAGTGAAAGGCTTTTTGCAAATGCTTTGCTCATTAGCAATTGAAAATTACAAGTCATTTATACAACAGAGCCAACGGAGTGACTTCAGGGGCTCCAAAGGGAGTTATAACTTAGTCTAGACCATACTTTGTCTAGTCCAAATGCAGTCTAGACCATACTCAAGAGTCCTAGCCAGCAGGAAACAACCCAGCCCTCCAAGTTATGACCTATGGATAGCATTCCACAGAAAACCATCCAAAGCAGGGCAAAGGTCAGTTTGCTTGAGACGGAGCAGAATTCCTGCTCTGTGTAAGCTCCCTCCCAAGTATCAGTGAGCTCCACAGGGAATAGAAAGCATGTTCAGGACAGAAACAACCACAAATACAGCTGCAAGCTGCCACCAAAGTAGATTTAAGAATGGACACCCTCCTATGACAGAGGGACCACACATGCAACACACAGGCTAAGAGCAGAATACTGCAGGGCAAGAATGATAATTTGTTTTTCAATCTGTCAGCTTCACACAGCTGCAAAACTCAACAAGTATGTCCAGCTGCTCCATCCAAGATCCAAAAACTATATCAGAGATGGAACCAAATGCCAGGTTACTGGCTGGGGTGCCACCAACGCAGATGTTTTAAACAACTCTGATACCCTGCAAGAAGTCACTGTCACCATCATAAGTCGAAAACATTGCAACAGCCGAAGTTATTATAACCACAGGCCTACTATAACAAAAGACATGCTGTGTGCGGGAGATGCAAAAGGCCAAAAGGATTCTTGCCAGGTAAGAACTGCTCCTTCAGACCCGCCTCATCGAGGGCTCTGCTGCACTCCAGGCTCAGTTTGCCCTCTCCCACGAAGGAGGAGAGGAGGAGACAATACAGAGGCACGAGTCCAAAACTCTACTCCCCGTGCCTGCAGTGTCCTGAATTCTTTTTCATCTACCTGTGCAAAAGCAAGAGCTTTCTCACAGCCGAAAAGGCACTCATTAAATGCTTTTATTCAGAGCAATAGACTATGTCTGACAACTTTTACGGGTTGTGAAGGGTGTTGCCATCGGTAGGACGTCTACAAATCCTGAGGTCACTAGTGGTGATGAGAAGACAGCATACCCAAGAAAGAATCTCAGTTATTTATTATCAGGGCTTATTCATTATCATGACTACCTGAGTACCAGCATGACTTTTTATACATGCATATAACAGTCTTCAATCCTATACATCCCCCCTCTACCCTCCTTTGACCTCTTTCCTCCCCCTTCCCCGTTTCCCTCCTCTCATCTCACAGTTCCCCTTCTTTCCTTCCTCCAGAAAGGAAGGAGACACCTTTTAAATCAATTCAAAGACAGGACTTCTTAAACTCAAATGCAAAAATTCCCAAATATATATAGTACTGTACGTGTTTCTTAAATAAAGTTGATAGGCAGCTATAGACTGAGCTACTATAACAAATCATCAAGAACTGGACAGCTTCTAGCTAAGTTTCTTTCCCCGGGGCTCAGGGCTGGGAAGTCCAGATCCAGCTGCTGGCGAACTCGGTGTCTGTTGCTCTCTGTTCCATGCTAACTCCACTTGGCAGGAGGGGTGAAGGTTCTCATTCTGGGTCCTGTTATGAGCACCCTCATCCTGACAGGATAGAAAATATAAAGATAAGTGAAAGGAAGCAAACAAATCACAATTTTTACGTTATGCTTTTAAGAAAAACTATAACTTCAGGATATAAAATTTATTCAGGCCTTTTTCCCTTCTTAAAAAAATTTCCCAAAGTCCTTAAAAACAGTAAGTGTTTCTCAAGAGCTTCTTGTGAGTATGTACTTTTTTAAGCTAATAAACCTCTTTATGTCTCTCACTGACTCATCTTAAAAATCCTTTCTCTGCAAAGCCAGAGAACCTATAACCTAATTCATAAGTGAGGTAAGTTGGGGTCCTCCTCTCCACTCTGGGAGACCTCCTTGGACTTCTGGTGACAGTGCCATTCCTGAGGGTGTCTCCTCCATGACCTAATCACTTCCCAAAGGCCCTGCTCTGAACACCGTCACATTTGGAGGTAAAGATTTCAGGATGTGGACTTGTGGCGGGGACAGGGGTGGTAAACACCTAGACCAGTGCTGGCTAATAAAAAAGAATAATAGTCACTGTGTCTTTCAAATCCTTTTTTAATCAGGATAGAAAGAAGAATATTGAGCGTGTGTACTGGATGCACGTTTAGAGATGACTAATAGATAGCACAGATGGATTAGTAAATTTTTAAAAAATTGGAATACAAACAATATTCTCACCTAATATATTAGATACTACTTGGAGGTATGATGAAGAGAAGGATATGGTGCTGGGTATCCATGGCAACCCCTCCTGACCATGTCATTGTGTTGACTCAGGGACAGACCCTGCCATTTGCCATAGGGACCATGCCAGGCGCAGAGCCTGGCCTCCCATCCCCTCTATGGTTTATTTTCTTCTCTTGGCAGAACTTCATTACAGATTTTGTCACTAGAGTAGATCCTCTAAAGTCATTCCACTGTGCAGGCATTTATAAAGTGTGGTATTTACATAGCACTGGGTTTAATGATATGGGGAATTAAAATGAAGAGAAAAGATAATAGAGAAGTCCTCGTCCTGGCTACCAAGAAGCATGTTCTATTACATCACTCTTTCCTGCTGGGCTCAGTCACAGTTTGGCTTCAGCTTGATTCTGTGAGCACTGAAATGAAATTTGCCGTGTAGAAAATTTCTCTTAAACACAGTACAGTGAAACACCATGAATGTGAGAGATGTACACAGGGTGGTCTATGTGTAAGAACACAGAATGAATCAAATCCTTGGGAAAGTACAAAGATCTGTTATTTCTCATTTTGAAAAAAAAAACCTTTGAATATGTCTCATGTGCAGGAAACTCACATAGATATGTCATATAAAATCTTGATGCTGATTATTTGCGTGCAGTGCTACAGATACACACAATAGAAGGGGATATCCTAAAGTAGAAAAATAATTTTATATTTATTTCTATGATAATTTTATTAACAAAGAAAACTCAGTGATAACTGATTAGTGAAGGGATGTATGTGTACGTGGAATTCGATGAAGACAGCAGAGGTGTAGAAGGGACACAGACAGAAACAGGCAAAATCATAGTCACAGACAAATATGAACACAGGGAAAGAGACACACAGGGAGAGAGGGCAGATAGAAATACGGTTCTGGAGGAACCTATACTAAGAGGCTATAACCTGTACTCTTGACTACACGAAGAAGCCAAAGACCCACATACGAACACTTGAGCCATCAACAGGTGGTGACAGAAAACTCTCCACAGCCTCTCACCAAGTATCTGTGCGTTTCCTTCTTTCCAGGGTGACTCCGGTGGTCCCTTGGTCTGCAAAGGTGTCTTCCATGCCCTCGTCTCCAGAGGCGATAAGTGTGGTGTTGCCAAGAAGCCGGGCATCTATACCCTGTTAACTAAGAAATACCAGGATTGGATCAAAAGCAATCTTGCCTCACCTCACGCATACTAAGATTGCCAATCATTTTCTCAGATCTGTCACTTTCTCCCCATAATACGCTTGCAGAGAAGCTTCTCTCCAGATGAAGCTGGACGTAGATAACGCAGAACACACCTGATGTGGCTCGCTGCGCCCTGAAGACCCCTCATGCCAATGAACCTAACCCTCTTCCATGTGTATCACTGATGTATTGTGACCATATTGATTTATTCTAAATAAAATTTAGAAGTCTCTCTGTTTGTCTTTTATGGACATGAAAGAATATCAGTCCCCATCTTACTCACATTCCCAAAGGCCAATTAAGTGACTAAAGGAATCAGGAATGGGACCACTTTAATCAGGCTTGTGTTGTGACTTCTGCTGAATCATAACAAGCTGTCGGGTGCTTTTTGCAACATGAGATCTATCCTGTTAACAAATTTTAAGAGTAAAATTCAGAATTTTTAACTATAGGTACAATCATACACAACAGGTCTCTAGAATCGATGTATGTTATAAAACTCAAACTTTATACCAGACAAGTAGCAACTCCTCGTTTCCCCCACCCATAGCCTTTAGCAACCACCATTCTACTCTGAGTTTTATTAGCTTGGCTGTCCTGTTCTATTTTTAAAATAATAAACAGAAATTCCAGCATCCAGCTCAAGAAAGTAGGACCAAAAAAAAAGAAAGAAGGACCAGCGTATATACAAATATGTGAGTAGTAACTATTTATACATGTCACCTTTTATTCAAGAAAGGGTTAGAGCTTTCCTTTCCAGCCTCGGCCTCGGACCGTGCAGCCGCCGCGATGTTGATGCCCAAGAAGAACCGGATCGCCATTTATGAGCTCCTTTTCAAGGAGGGGGTGATGGTGGCCAAGAAAGACGTCCACATGCCCAAGCACCCGGAGCTGGCAGACAAGAACGTGCCCAACCTTCACGTCATGAAAGCCATGCAGTCTCTCAAGTCCCGAGGTTACGTGAAGGAACAGTTTGCCTGGAGACACTTCTACTGGTACCTTACGAACGAGGGCATCCAGTACCTCCGTGACTACCTCCACCTGCCCCGAGATTGTGCCTGCCACTCTTCGCCGCAGCCGGCCTGAGACTGGCAGACCCCGGCCCAAAGGTGTGGAGGGCGAGCGGCCCATGAGGCTCACGCGCGGGGAGGCCGACAGGGATGCCTACAGACGCAGCGCCGTGCCCGCCGGTGCCGACAAGAAGGCTGAGGCGGGGGCCGGTTCAGCCACTGAATTCCAGTTTAGAGGCGGATTTGGTCGTGGACGTGGTCAGCCACCGCAGTAAAGTTGGAGGACTTTATTTTCCATTGAATAAATGTAGCCAGAAAACGTGGAAAAAAAAAGAAAAGAAAAGAAAAGAAAGGGTTAGATATATTATACATGAATACTTGCAATGCAACAAAATACAGAATTAAAAATAAATAAGTGATGATAATGGGCCAAGGGGGGAATGAGGAAGAAAGAAGAGAGGACGGCAAGAGTGTTCAGATGGCCCTCCAAGAGCGCTGCTTCTTCCTATACTTTCTAGTACAATTCACATTAGGCTCTATTCTTTGGGCAATACACAAAAGATCAACACACTCAATAACATGAATTATAGTAGCCAGGAAATAAAAGTAAATTTTTTGTCTGCAAGTAGAGCCACTGTACTAGAACTGAAACTACAGAGAACTTTTTTTCCATTGTCCTCTTAAAATGCTTAGCATGGCAATACATATACCAATCACTGAAATATCACAAGCTGCCCCATAGACACATACATGTAAATGTGACAATTAAACACAAAATATTAAAATACAAGTATAAAGACAACACTATGCCATGTTCCCCACGTCCCTGTCAACCGCATCAGAATCATCTGAGATTGTTAAGACTGATTGCCTTGGCCTCTTGCCTAGAAGTGGGCCTGAAAAATCTATAATTCAGTTATGTGAGCTGGTCTGACAGCCACCAATAATGAACATCTTTAACAATAGCTTAGAATAAAGACAGCAGTGAGTATCAAGGGATTTTTTTTATAAACCCTGCAATGTGAATTGATGAATTAAGACCAGATCACCACTCACCCCAATGACTGTCTCACCCATTGATTAGAGTGCGAGCATTTCTAATTCGGGTTGAAGACGGTAGTAGGAGATGAGGGGCTCACTCTTCCTTCAACCAGAAGGAAGAAACTCATCTCAAAAAAACCAAGCTCAGCCCCTGTGTTTAATCTGGATTTTAGGGGATAAACAACTCTTGTTTCCAAGTGACATCAAGGTCTTTTATAGAGATGGATGCTGATTTGTTTGTCTTTTGTCATGGTTCTTACAAACCATCAATGCCTACTACCCTGAGTTACTTAGAGAAATAGAAAGGCTAGATGTTAAATAAAATAACCTAATAAAATTTTACAATTGCTTTGACAAAAAACTAGGACATTTCTTTAAATATCCTGTGTTATGTCATTTTCTTCATTAACTATGCAGATTATGAAGAATACTGCAGTGGTTGATACGTTGTGTCAACCTGGCTGGATGACTCTGCAGTGCACGCTAGTGGGGGTCTCGCCCTGGGACACAATTGGTTCCCCCCAGAGTGACACAGCACAAAGAGACCATATAAAGGGGCTGAGGAAGGAGTCAATGTTCCACTTCATCGCAGGAACCACAGTCTTCACATCCAGCTTGCGGCGCAGACTCTTCGGCCTCCGGCTTGGATCCTTCACCTTCGTCTTCCACCGCAGACCCATTAGCTGGCAGATAGAAACTTGCGCGGAGCACTGCAGTGAGCTTCAGACCTTGGGACTGAGTTCTTCTCCCTCATCTGACTCTGCTGCTGACGGTTGTAAGCCAACCTTGTAATTCCTTATACCTCGTGTATCTTTGTTAATATCTGTTCCTTATATTATATCTGTTCCTCTAACTAAAACCCTGACCAATACAAATGCTGATTATAAAATCCGATTACATTTTACAAGAAATTGAAGCATTATGGATTCTCTGGATTTATCAGTAAAAATTAATTCTGTCTCAATTTCACCTAATTTTTTTTTTACTTTTATTACCACATGTTTGTAGTACATAATTATTATATTCACTGTAGGAAATTCATGCATATACATAACACATTTCAGTTCTGTGTTTTGCCTTCCCTCTATCCCTCTTCTATTTTTCTAGCATCAGCTTCATTTATTTATCTTAGAAGACCTTTTAAAATTAATTATCAGGTTGAAAAACCAAACTAATAGGCCAAAGAACATGTAAAACATGTAAGACAACCACACTAAGTCAAGGTACACTTTTAGATACATTGTTCCTGGTATGTTACAAAAATTTTACTCTCTCTCTCTCCTCTCTGTCTCTCTGTCTCTCTCTCTCTCTCTCTCTCCTATTATCAGTCTTTTATTTTGATAAAATGATTCATATGAAATAAATTGCACAATGTTTAAATGTGTGTCTGGGTTACCTCACATTATGATCTCAAGCTGCACCCATTTTTCCTACAAATGACTCAAGTTTATCTTTCTTTGTGACAGAATAGCACTCCATTTTGTACAAATACCACATTTTCTTTATCCACTCATCTGTTGGTGAACATATAGGCTGTTTCCAAGATTTAGCTATCATGCCTTGTGCTGATACCCGCGTGGGTGTTCATCACTGTGGTGTGGTGTCTTTAACTCTTTTGTGAGGATACCTGTGGGAAATAGCTGTGTCAAGTGCAACTTCTATTCTCAGTTTTGTGAGGCATCTCCACACTGATTTCTATATTGTGTATCAATTTACAGTCCCACCGACAATGAAGAGTGTTGCTTTCTCTCCGCAGCAACCAGCGTTTGCTGTGGGTTGATTTCCTGATGACAGCCCTTCTTCCTGGATGAGATGAGATCTCAGTGTTCATTTAATTTGCATTTCTCAGTTGGCAAGTGATATTGGATATTTTTTCATATATTTATTGGCCATTTAAATTTCCTTATCTGAGAAATTTCAAATTCATAAAACCTATCATCATGAGTCTAACCACAAGGATTGTTGTTATTCTTGATGCAGTTGATGAGCATTCTGAAAAGCTAACCCCAAAACCTGAGAATTCGATTTTGAATTTAGACTCCATTCTGTTAACATCCAATAGTCTAAAAGGGCCAGATTCCCAGACTGGAAAGTTCTTTGAAAACCTATGGCAGACCTGGCAGCTCTACAGTGGAGATAATCAGCATGTCTTGGGTGGGGGAGATAGCTTTGAGGTCTGAGTTCCTGCGTAGGCAAGCGCAAGGATCTGGGTTGGATCCCCCGCACCACATGCCATGCCAGCCCCACCCTCGGGCACACTGAGCTAGCCTGGTGCACACCTATAATCCCACTGCTAGGGAGGCTTAAAACAGGAGAATCACTACGATTCTGAGCTGCATAGTGAGACCCTGTACCAAATACAGTTCAAACAAACAAACAGAAATCAGTATGTCTTGATGAGCAGCTGGTGACGGAGCCCACAACTGAAGTACACCTCTCATCCTTACAGGGAAAGAGTGTTTTGCTTAACCTACCAATATCTGCCCAGTGTAGCTTAAAAGAATATCGTATGTTCATTTGGAGCACTGCCTTTAAGAATGCATTTAATTCTATTTATGGCCTCCTAAGAAAGATGAAAGTCAAATGCCTTTATTTTAAAATTGCTCAAAGGTTCAGGGAGAAGTGATCTCCTGTAGTCATTCTGAATCCCCCACTTCCTACCTCTTGGTGGCTGTGGACACGGTGCATTTGCTTTCTCCACAGACATAGGAGAAGGGTTCGTGTTTGGTTTTATTAATAACCATCGTGTCTTAGTACAGTGTCAGTACTAAGAACAGCTAAGTTCTGTTTCATGTAGTAAGCCAGTATTGACTGGGGTCAGTCCTGCAAGCTGGCTAGCATGAGGTGGCAGAATTAGCCCTCCCTTCTGATTTCCACAGTTTTTTTACACTGTGGCTCGTGCCTAAACAACATGAAGAGCAGGGTGTCCAGCCTGATTAAAGAAGGACTTTTGGTGAAGCTAAATAGTTCCTCCTCTTTGATTAAACTTTTCTTTTGGGAATGAATACTACCAGGAACTGGACTATGTCTGCCTCCAAATTCATGTTAGAATCCTAACCTTCAATATTTGGAGGTGAGACCTACAAAGAAATCGTGGAGATAAAATACAATC